CCATTTATTCTGTCTAGAGAATAAACTGCCTAAAACTATTGATTCAAAGACAGCAGATGTCTATGTAACAACTATAATGTTGATCCGTGAATTGTTTTGAACGAGTCACAATATAAAATGCAATTTAAAAGGCTTTTCCAGGTTAATAAGGTAACTAGGCAAGTTAAAACAATTAGGCAAATCATGTTCTCCCAAAATAAAACAAACAAGACTAAGACTGTAATAAAAAAAAAAAAAACATTACATGAAATACTGTCAATTTTCATTTATAACACTCCATTTTTGCATAAAGAATGCACAGCAGTTTTGGTAATTATTTTCTTTATTCTCTATTTCCCTCCGGGGATACTCATTCTGAGGTCCCTAGAGACTACACAGCGCCATTGACGCAATCCAAGACCAATAAAAAGATGATCCCAAGGTATCCATAATCCTGGACCAGGCCGTATCCGGAGCTGATGCTGTGGTCGTCATGGAGGAATGGAGTGTATGACACTGATTCCTGAAATTCCACCGTGACAAACGAGTACCCGCAGTGATCCTGTGGGCCAGCCTGAACTCCCGCTGGTGTCCTACTCACAACAGCAGTTCACCACAATGGACGTCCAGCTTCTCCAGCCTCCGGTGCCTAGACTGCAACTCCACACAAGAAGTTTGGCCAGAAAAATGATGGTCATGCCCAACAGAGCCTAGTTTCTCTCAAGGTTTTTTCCCTTCACTTCGTCAATTGGTGATGTTTTTTCATCACCACTATCGCCACTGGCTTGCTTGGATCGGGACTTATGGAGCTGCGCATCAGTGGACTTGCTGTACAGTGTTTAAACTTTCAGCAGTGAAATTTAAACCACACCTACAACAACAACAACCACAGCAGAAGCAGCAACAACAACTACTACTACTACCATTACAACAACAACTACTACTATTACTACTACAACAACTACTTTAACTACTAATACCACTGCAACTACTACAACTACGACTACAACTACAACAACAATTACTACTACTACAACAACTACTATTACCACTACCACTACAACAACTTCTACTCCTACAACCACTACTAATACTACTACAACAACAACTACTACCACCACCACCACAACTACTATTACTACTACTTCTACTACAACAACTACTACTAATACTACAACTACCACTACAACAACTTCTACCACCACTACAACAACTACTACTAATAGTACAACTACAACAACTAGTACTATTACTACTACCACTAAAACAACAACAACAACTACTACTACTACCAGTACAACAACAACAACTACGATTACTGCTACAACAAAAACAACCACTACTACCACTACAACAATAACCACTACTACTACTATCGCTACAGCTACTACTTCTACTACTACCACCACTAGAACAACTACTCCTACAACATCTACTACTATTACTACTACTACAACAACAACTACTACTACAACTAAAACAAATAATACTATAACCACCACATAATACTACAACTACTATCACCACAACAACAACTACAACTACTATCACTACAACAACCACCACTACTACTACAACTATTACTATTGCTACAACAACAACTACTTCTACTGCTACAACAACTACTACTGCTAATATTATTAATAATAATTTTAAAAATAATAATAATAAGGGCTAATAATACTCATCTGAAACCAGCAAACATCTACCATTTATTGTTTTGACAAGTCACAAAATTAAAAACTCCCCATAGTAATATATTTTCCTCAAGTTGAGCATTAATACTGGTGATTATGGTAAGGGATATTACTTCTTTTGTTTGTTTTTGAGGTATTTGGCCAATCACAAAGCACTGGGAAGCTGGCCAATCAGAACACTCTGGACTTTTCAAAGGCAGGTGCTTTGCAGAAACCAAAACTCAGTTAGAGAATCTGAGACAGACTGATGGCTAGTGATATGACCAAGCAATCTCAAATACAATTTATCATATTAGTTGATATTGATAATTATCATAATAAACATCAAGTTAAAGGAAGATATTTTTGCTCCACAGTGAAAGTTATGAAAATTAAATTACTGTAATTGCATCTCTTCATATGTCCACGTTAATAATAAAATTTCTATCCCTATCCTTCCATAATACAATGGATCAGTTACTGCTACTACAGTAAATCCATGGTACTGTAAATTCAAGAACAGCCTTCTAACTGGGTCATTCCTGTTTGTCAGTGTCCTTCAGAGCCTCATTTGGCTGCCAGATGTTTGTCCTCACCTCTAGGATCATTTTAACTGTAGGCAGTGTAGTGGAGATATTCTGCGGATGAGGCGGTCGCACGGTTATAGGAATGCAGCCTGCGTACAGGCAGCCATAAAACGCAGCGATCAGATCCAGACCTGAAACACAAACACACACACAAACATGACATCTTACGTTTGTTTGTTTGTTTGTCTATTTAAAGCCACATCAGCAACTTATTATGGCTTCATCACTGCATATAAAAACTTATTACACAAAAAATTCTAGCTGCCTTCGATTATTTTGTTGAATCGAATTACATCAACCAAACTGCCTAAAAATATTAATTTAAACTTTGTATCACTTAGACAAACGAATTAAAACCTGGTTAATTATTGAAATAAAGTTAAAGCAACATAAAAACCTTTGTTGCCTTGACTTTCTGTCATTAATTTTTACATAGTGTACATAATTATAACAACAATGTCATCAATAAGAGATGGTACAAAATGAAAGTAAATTTTACATTAAAAGGTACCACTTTAGTGTAGGTCACACATAATGATATTAAATACTGGCTTATTACCTGCCTATTATTAACTGCTCATTAGTAGCTATAAAGTATGATATTTTTCTGCATCCCAAATCCTACCCAAAACTTAAACCTAACAACTACCTTACTAACTAATAATTAACTAACGCGAATTAGAAGTTTATTAAGCTAGTAGTTTAAGCTAATGATCTGTTTATACCATGAATTGTGACATAAACTAAAGTGTTACCCATTAAAACATTAAATATGATTTTTCACTTTCATATATGATAAGTAACTTAAAATTACTAGACATTGTAGTAAAATATCATTAGAATTATAGCAAAACACACTGTATTTCACTGCACATTTGCTCATTCTTATTTGTGGTGTGTTTGATGGTAATGTCATATGTTCAATTGAATGTACTGGTAACACTTTATTTTGAGGGTCCCTTTTAGACATTTAGTTATATGTATATATACTTATATTTAGCTATATTATATACACGGGGCTTCCACACTTTCATGCAGATTCAAGAACTTTCAATGACTTTTTAAAGCACCATTAAGTTTAAATCAAGCACTTTAGCAATTCATATCCCAGCATATGTAGTGCCATGAAAGTCCTTACTGTATTTAACATTTCACTTACACTTAATATTAATGTAAAAAGGTCAGAGTCATTTAAAAAAATTGACAGTTCCAAAAATTCAAAGTTTTACAGAACTTTAATAAAATTTGTTAAGTTAAATACTGGTAATGGAGGCTCAGTGGTTAGCACTGTCGCCTCACAGCAAGAGGGTCACTTCGAGGGCCGATTGGGCCAATTTGCATTTCTGTGTGGAGTTTGCATGTTCTCTCCATGTTTGCATGGGTTTTCTTCAGCTGCTCCGGTTTGCCCCACAGTCCAAAGACATGAGGTATAGGTGAACTGGATGAACTAAACTGACCATAGTGTATGAGTGTATGTGTGTGAATGAGTGTGTTTCCCAGTACTGGATTGTGGCTGGAAGGGTATCCGCTGTGTGAAACATACAGTATGCTGGAATAATTGGTGATTCATTACATTGTGACGACCCCTAATAAATAAGGGACTAAGCCGAAGGAATGAATGAATGAATACTGGTAATATTCAAATGTGGTTTTCGTAAATATTGATAAAACTGTGCCTTATTCGTCAGTTTTATTGCACATGATTTAAACTTAAGACTATTAATTGAAGAATTTCAGTTTTTTCATTCTGTTTTTGACAATTGAGTACAAGTGTTAAAATAAATTCATAAACAAATTACATTTCAAATTTAGTTCAAGCACTTTTAAGGACCTGTGTTTGTTTAAGAGTAATTCCCAGGCCTTGAATCCACATGTCTGAAGTACTTTCAAGAAGCATGGGAACCCTGTATATAGAGGTTATATTCCAGCTACATGCCAGCAACGTCTCATTAGTGTGACATTTGACTATAAGAAAAAAATGTCAACTAACCCTAATCTCAACCTAAAAGTCTACTAAAACTCTAATGTGATTTGCCATGTAGTTGCCATGTAACTTACAATCAACAAAAGGGACCATCAAAATAAAGTAATACCAATGTACCCAATGTTATGTCTGCAGATTTAATATAAGTGGGCGACTCTTCAATGCGAATCACAGAAGCAGACTGACTGATGTAGCGGATCTGATTTAATCAAACACTACAATTATCTGAGCTGAAAAAAAGACTACAGATGGGATTTTTACCCTCAGCGCGTGAAGTTTGTTAACTACGGATCTGACAGCAAACATTGTGATCATTTATTTACAGCTTAACTGGGCTGTAATTAGGGCAGAGATGTACTATGCCAGACATAGTATATTTATTTATTATGATGCGATTTGCCTTCTATGTGTGATTTGATTGGACAGGAATCACAGGACGGATTTTTCTAATAACCATAGACAAGAAAAAAAAAAAGTAGTGACTGTAGGTTGAAGGAAAGTAGTGGAGTAAAAGTATCGATACACCACTAAAAATGTACTCAAGGAAAATTAAAAGTACACATTTTTAAAACTACAAGGTAAATTACAATTTCTGAGAAAAACTACTCATTTACAGTAGTTTGAGTATTTGTAATTAGTTACTTTAAACCACTGATTAGGGGAAGAAATAAAGAAAACTTAATACATGCTTATAATGTTTGTAAATAAATAAGTGAAATAAATCAAACTTGAACCATACGCGGGGCGACGTGATGGCACAGTAGGTAGTGCTGTTGCCTCACAGCAAGAAGGTTGCTGGTTCGAGCCTCGGCTGGGTCAGTTGGCATTTCTGTGTGGAGTTTGCATGTTCTCCCTGCGTTCGCGTGGGTTTCCTCCGGGTGCTCCGGTTTCCCCCGCAAGTCCAAAGACATGCGGTATAGGTGAATTGGATTAACTTAATTGACAGTAGTGTATGTGTTTGAATGAGTGTGTAAGGTTATTTCCTAGTGATGGGTTGCAGCTGGAAGGCCATCTGCTGCGTAATACTGTACATATGCTGGATAAGTTGGCGGTTCATTCCGCTGTGGCAACCTCAGATTAATAAAGAAACTAAGCTGAAAAGAAAATGAATGAATGAATGAATGAATAAATCATACGCCAAAGCGACAGTGCTTTATGATGCACTGGTACCTTTTAACACATTTAGATGACTATTGCAACAAAGTTACATTGCAACTACATGACAACTCATTCTCTTAGGGTTAGGGTTAGAGTAAATTGATATTTCTTCTTTACGACAACGCAGTTCTGACCCACTACAAGACACTATCCACAAGGCAACAGATTCGGTTCAATCTGCAAACGTTTAACATTATTTCAGCCTTTAACTTTAATTAACTGCACTGAAATTAACTTTTTAGATAAATTAAATAGATACAGAGAGTGGGGGGAAAAATCTCAAAACATGCAGACATTTTAGAATCTAAAAAAAAAAAAAAAAAGATTCTTGCCAATCTAATTTAACACAGAAAATCAAAGTGTTAGGTAAATTACCTGGTGGATAAACTAGGGCTACGTGGTCTCCGTCTCGTAACTGTCCTCTTTCATAAAGCAAAGTGGCGATTTTCTCTGCTCTCTTGTGCAGTTGTAGACAAGTCAGAGAACTTCCTACTGCTCCCTGAAACACAACCACACACCAGAAATCACATGGATATCATGTGTTTGTGTTCATTTTCTGAAAACGATGAGGTGTGCGTGTTACCCGTGAGTTAATGAGCGTGTACAGTATGTGCTCTGGTGTTGTCTGAGCTCTCCACTGCAGCATCTCCGACAGAAAGAGAAACTACAATGCACAGAAGGAAAAAATACAATCAGTAAAAAAGCCAGATTTACTGTACAAATCTTCATAAGATGCAAGCAAGTTTTCTGGTTACATTTGATTTTGAGGCTCTCCTTTCTTCTGTTGACTATATGTAACTACATGTAAACCAACTCTCATTAGCGTATTAGTAGAGAGGTTTGGGTTAAATAAAAAAATTGGGTAAAATTGGGTAAAATAGTTGCAAATTACAAATAATCAGTAAAATGTTTGATGCTTTTATTAGAAATAAAGTAGGTGGTTGACTAATACTTTTATGTAAAGTTATTTAAAATCAGAAAAATGTGTAAAAAATGTGTGTTGACCTTTCAAATCAACTGTTTGTAGTTTGAATTTATGCTTAAACACATTTTCAATCATATATCCGGCCAAAAAAAATCTATTTAAAAAAACGGTACATTTGTTAATGTATTTACACAAACAAACAATGAACAATACATTAATTATCATTTTTAATAATCTTATCTAACATTAGTTATTGAATATAAAGTTGTTTATTGTTAGTTAATTTTAACTCATAGTTCATTAACTAAATGTTAAAGAGCCCCTTTTCTAGGTTTTTGAAAATGACCTTCCATGTAGTGTGCAACACAACACTAAGTGAAGTGAAATATCCAGCTTAGGCTTAAATCTGAAAGTGGACAGTGTTTAAAACTATTGATACATCTCTAAAAGAGTCAGCTCATAGTGGTTCCAATAAATCGCCGTGGTAACGAGTCTTTAGGCATGACGGCGTGATGTCAATACGGAAATCAAGCCCCACTCATTTGCTACACTCACAGACCCAGGAAAAATTTAAACCCCCGGCCCCGTTCACAAACACTGTAGCAGATCCCGGTTGATCTGCAAAAATACCTCAGCATTATAGCCCCTGCCTTGTGCTGTTTTCCTGTAATTTTTCTGACGAGTGCTTTAGGAATCTACATGTTTACAATGGGGGATTCGTTGGCTCTTTGTTAAAGGAAGGAGCAGAAAAGACTATTGACATATGGAACTTTGTCAGAGCTTGAGATGAAATTTACAGTACACAGTGGATCAGTTTCTTCCTCCATTTCACAAGTGTAAATGCGATTAAAATGGTTGCCCCATTGTCTTCGCTTGCTTGCAAAATATGTATTTGATTGTGTTTAGTTACCTGTAACCCCACCACGTTGCTTGTTACTCTTTGTATTCACATATTGCGTTGTTGGGATAATTAGGTAAAAATGAATACATATTATAAGAAAATGAAAGTGTTTTTTGACCTTGCATGCATATTAGACTGTTGTTGGAGACCCCCAAAACCCCAACATGACCTTTTTTAATGCAAATTAGGGGCTCTTTAACAAGCGCAATTTTGGATTTTTACATGAAGTTTTTTTTTAAGTTTTACATACATAAGCTAAGATAAATTAATGGACAATTATTTTAATGTGGCATCAAAACTCTTATCAATGTTTAATAAACTCTTAATTTCCCCACAAGTTTTATGATTACAAAAACATTTGAATATACTTATTATTATCATCACATCATTAATAGTTAAGTATAAAAGCACTTTTTATTATTATTATAATTTTCATTATTTTATTATGTTTAATAATTTCTTTATAAAATTCTACTTAAATGTGGAAAAAAATTTATCAACTGGGCGATGATGATTTTGTAACAGTATGATTTTACACTTGATCTGAGACACTGCAAACAATACAGAAATGTTTTCTCGCCTGTATATTTTTCTTTCATATTAACATTATAATATTTTTCCTAATAATCATATCCTAAGTGATCCAAAAAGCCTGTAGACACACAAACTTTACCTGCTCATTGTCCTCCATGTGACTCAAATCTCGTCCGCTGGCCTGAGCCATTCGTTTCCCCGCGACAAGATTCCCCACCATCACTGAGGCAGGACCCACCTCTGCAACAAACACAGTACTTTCACACAATGCCTTCTCTTTAACACAAACACATGGTGCTCGATGGTGTAGATAGTGGTGTACCAGGCTGTTTTTGTCTGGGTTTGGGCAGGTTGGTGATGCAGGAGTGAGGACACATGAGGATGCTGCAGGGGTGAAGACCCCCCTCCAGGAACAGCTGCTTTGTCTCAGACAGGTGGATTCCTCCCAAAGGGGTTTTGGGAAGAGTGTTAGCAGGAACCAGTGCCAGACAGTAGACCCCAACCTGATGAATTCCATCTATAGCCTGAAAACACAGAGAGAGAGATGTCATTACTATCAATTTTGTGCACAACTAATATCTGTAATCATATATAAAAAAAAAAATAAAAGTGCAAGAGTTTTAAGTTAGATATATTTAAGTTAGATTATAGATTTTTTTTAATTGGGTTTTCATTGTCTTTCATTCTTCAAGGCTGCATGGACAGATTTTTTCTGCGTCATTTGCACTGCATATTAAAAAACATAATATTTGCATATAGACCATTTCAATGTGGTCATGCCATTGGCTCATGAACATTTCCTGCTTGTTATCAATCTATTTTATAACTGTAACAAGAGGAAATTCAATCATAACTTCATGTTAAAACAGCGATCATTGCATTATTTTTTGATATGTGACTCTTTTGGATTCTTGAAAGTTATAGAAATTAAAAATTTAAAACAGGAAATACATTGGGACCACTGTTTTTGTTTACATCCCTCAAAATGGTCTATAGAAAGTGTTCATCCAGTGTGTGATACCTTTGTCTTAGACACAGTACAGACATGACATGTGACATACTTGCAATGCAAATTCGGCATTTAAATGAGAGGTTGATAAATTTCAACTGCCAAACAAAAATCACTGATATTCCATAACTTGGACAAGAAAATATCAAATTCCTAGATTTTTTATATCTGGAATACACTTTTTAAAATTCTGTGCTTTTTATGCTGATCCATAACCTGTGGGAACCCTGTGTATGGTACAATGTAATTTATTTATGTAATTGTAATCAATAAATCAATCAATCAGTCAATCCATCCGTCAGTCAGTCAATCTGTAAGTCTGTAAGTCAGTCAGTCAGTAAATCTGTAAGTCAGTCAGTCAATCTGTAAGTCTGTGAGTCAGTCAGTCAGTCTGTAAGTCAGTCAGTCAGTAAATCTGTAAGTCAGTCAGTCAGTCAGTCAGTCAGTCAGTTTATAAATCTGTAAGTCAGTCAGTTTATAAATCTGTAAGTCAGTCAGTCAGTCAGTTTGTAAATCTGTAAGTCAGTCAGTCAGTTTGTAAATCTGTAAGTCAGTCAGTCAGTCAGTAAATCTGTAAGTCAGTCATTCAGTCAGTCAATCAGTCAGTAAATCTGTAAGTCAGTCAGTCAGTCTGTAAGTCAGTCAGTCAGTCAGTCTGTAAATCTGTAAGTCAGTCAGTCAGTCAGTCCGTCCGTCCGTCCATCCGTCTGTCTATCTATCCGTCCATCCATCCATCCATCCATCCATCCATCCATCCATCCATCCATTCCTCCATCCATCTACTTGGTTTTATTCTCCTCCTACGGCACAGGTGTCAAACTTAGTTCCTAGAGGGCCGAAGCTCAGCACACTTTTTTTCCAACCCTAATTCCTTCGGTTTTGTTTTAAACCTACAGATAATGCCGCAGTCACACTAGAGTTTGAGCTTGCGAAATTCTGTCCTACATCGAAAAGGGCCGGGATTAAACAAGATGATTAGACATTTTAAAAAGTGAGCGATTGGTCCATATTTAAAATTTCTGTCCAGAGAGGTCATGTCTTTCTCCTCGGTTGGTCTCACGCAGTCACGTGGTATGATTTCGCAGGCCAGAGATCACCAAGCTTAGACTTGGCAATGCAGTGAACTGCAAAACTTTAGCTACGTCTCATTTCAGAGGCTGCATCCTCCGAAAGATGCATTCGAAGTGCGCTGCGTCGTCTCATTTAATTCTTTAGAAGATTCTTTGCGCGCTGATAACGGCAGAACCTTTTTTTAAAGAAAAATCTGGTTTAAATTTATGAATTAAGTTTATTTTAAGTGGATATGTAAATATGTTTAAAAAACTGGTGACGAGATCTTTCCTCTAGGCTAGATCGTCTCATTTCAAAATGCTTAGTTCGGCCTGTGTGGACTTTGAAGGACTCACCTTTAAAGTGTGCATCCTTAGGAGGATGCAGCCTCTGAAATGAGACACGGCTTTGGTCTTATGCGTTTGCGTATGTATGAATTGAAGTCTATAGGGAGAAAAATCCAATGTAACCATGGCATTAGTGTGTTGAAGCAGGGTTGGAACTAAAATATGCAGAGCTGCAGCCCTCCTGGAACTAGATTTGACACCTGTGTCCTAGAGTGTTGGTGAGGTTTGGGGGCTGTTTGAGGGTTTGACCAGTTCATGCGTACCCTTGCAGTTGTTACACATGTACAGTATAAAAGAAACATTTAGAAAAAAAGACCATTAAAAAGAGAAAGAAAAATAAATTATTCTAATATGCTAAACATTTCTTATTATTATCAATATTAAAAACAGTTGTGATGTTTAATTGTGTGTGTTTTCAGTATTATTTGATTATTATACATTATACAAAAAATAGTTACTGGAATTATTGCAAGAGTGCAAGTCTTTACTGTCATTTTTAATCAATTTAATCAATTTAATGCATCAATTCTAAATAAAATTATTCATTTACTTAAAAAAAACATACTGAGCCAAAACGTTTGAATAAAAAGTAGTTTACATGAATACAAAAAGGCACATTCCATAAAATAACAAAAACAGCACAACTGTTAGTTACCATCATAGTATGTCCGGTCCGAAACAGAAAGATAAAGTATAATTAAGAAGTCTTTTGAGTTCCTTTTAATTTGATCATATTTTTTCCTTGCCATTACAATAAAACACAGCCTGGCTTCTGCTTTTGTCAAGTCCTGGTAAGCTTCGACATCCACTGTAAAATCTTCAAAATACATGATCTACATAACTGTATAGTATATTAAACATTAGATGTGTTCAGCTTGGCTTAGATTAAGTTGCTTAGCACAGCACTTTTGTTTTTAGCAGGGGGCACCATGGCTAACTTTACCTTTGAGTCTAGTTAAGGGAGTGTGTGTGTGTGTGTGTGTGTGTGTGTGTGTGTGTGTGTGTGTGTGTGTGAGTGTGTGTGAGTGTGTGTTTGTGTTTGTGTTTGTGTACCTGCAGCACTCGGCTCATCCACTGATAACTCTCTTCTTCAGTGGAATCTGGTCTCTGTTCTGCCACCAGCACGATCCTCTCATCATACAGTACAGTCACTGAAAACACCACCGTCCTGCACACAAATTATTCAGATGAATTATACAGCAAGTTTAATTACAATGCCTTTTCTCTCACTCGCTCGCTCGCTCCCTCCCTCTGTGTCAATTCTCAGGATCGAACACTTCAGTATTCCATTCGTCAGTGAAGACGTCAATCTCCATTAAACCGTGTGACGTCATCACCTTTGCTGCCAATCATGATGGGAGAAAACCCCCATGAAAACCCCCTCATTTGGTTCAAGTCTACCTCAGAATGTTTTCAGAAAATGCTTCATGATGGGCGTGAAACGCTGCGAGCAGAGGAGGGGTTCCTGCCCCAATAATGATTTTAAAATTCGGAAGATAAATTAGCTGACAAAAGCTTTAAATTACCTAGTTTTCCTCACAATTAAAGCTGACAGCAGCTAACATTGTCTTAATTGATGCTTAGCACACACAAATCTGTTAAAATCTCAAAAAAGTACTCCAGGGTGTCTTGAACCTTTAAAGCACAGGTGTCAAACTCAGTTCCAAAAGGGCCGCAGCTCTGCACAGTTTAGTTCCAACCCTAATTAAACACTCTTGATCAAACTAATTGAGTCCTTCAGGCTTGTTTGAAACCTACAGGTAAGTGTGTTGGAGCAGGGTTGGAACTAAACTGTGCAGGGCTTCGGCCCTCCAGGAATTGAGTTTGACACCCCTGCTTTAAAGAGATTGTTTACCCCCAAAAAATGGATTGTGTTATCATTCGGTCACCCTCCATTTGTTCATTTTGTTTTTTGTTTTGTTCAGTTTGTCTTCCATATTTCTTTTTGTTCCTACAATGAATGCCAGTTTTTTTTAACACAAAAGAGAAACTCATAAAAGTTTGGAACCACTTTAGGATGAGTTAATTAAAACCATTAGTTTTAAGCAGACACTTTAAGGGACAGTTCACCAAAATACAATGAAAATGTGTTTACTGTTTATTTACTCACCCTCAAGTGATTACAAGTGTTTCTTTCTTCTGTTGAACACAAATGATGATATTTTGAAGTAAGCTCAAAACCTGTAACCACTGACATCTATAGTATGAAAAACAGATACTATATAAGTTAATGGTTACAGGTTTTCAGCTTTATTTGTGTTCAACCTAACATAAAAACAGGTTTGTAACAACTAAGTAGTAAATAATGAGGACAGAATTTTCAGGTTTTAGGTAAAGTGTTCCTTTAATTTGTATTTAACGGCATCTAAAATCTCTTTTTTATTTATTTTATTTTGATGTGGACACCAAAAAAAGTGACGTTTTTTGTCTCTGACCCACTCACCTTCCTCTGTAGATGAACTTCATGGGCTCCACAGCCAGAGCGGTAGCAATGATGTCATCAGCGTTGTGTTTCCGTCCGCCGACCTGCATCAGTCCCTCAAGTGTCCCAGAGATGAAGATCATCCTGCCTGGACCCACAAACCCCAGCAGACCCGACCGCACGAACACACAGTCACTGACCAATCCACCGTCACACGCCACTGGACAAACCTGCACCACACAAACACACACACATTTACTGACAGAAAACTCACACTGAAACACATACAGTACAGTATAGTGAAGTATAAATTCAGCATTATAGTATCTGTATATAGTGAATTATTTCTGTATATTGTGAGTTTTTTTTTTACCATCTTGTCCTACTATACAGAGACCAGCTGATGCAATGAACCAACTAGACCAGCTTCAGCCTGATTATTTCTATAAATAAACCATTCGGACAAGCTAAAATTATACAATGGAAGTAATTTAGGATGAATTAAACAGACAAATAAATAAATCCAGAAACCACTTATACACTGTAAAAAACGCAGGGTTCCACACAATTCATTCATTTTGTCCCAACACAAATTAAGTTATCTTAACACTTCTAAGAAATGTATGTACATTGAACATAAAAAATTAAGTTGTCCCAATGAAATATCAAGGATTGTGTTGTTTCGGCTTACTTTAAATAAGTAACGTACAAAATATATATATTTTTTAAATGTATAGTAAAGAGCCTTTTTATTTTTCCATGGTAAAATTAAGATTTAAAAGGTTTCTTCACAAATCTAAAAATTTAAATCTTAATTTTACCATGGAAAAATAAAAAGGCTCTTTACTATACATACTTTATAATCTAAACAATTCAAAAAAAACTTTGGAGGAGACTAAATGACATCTATATTGGCTGCTAAATATATGTACACCATCAGAAATGGTCAATCAACTCATTTCCCTTACTTAAATAATCTACAATTTTTATTCTAATTATTAATGAATTATTATTAAATATTAGACATTGTAGAGATGTTGTGTTTTTATGAAATTTTCCTTTAATTTATTTCTCATATATGTTACTAATTTGATGATGTTGATATACAGTATTACATATTTCATATATATCTAAAATGCTTTGGCAATACTATACTAAATGTCATGCCAATGAGAGAAAGAGCAGCTGTGTACAGATGGCTCCTAAATAGCATAAAAAAAGAAAAATAATTAACTTTTTTAATTTAATTTTTAATATAATTTTTTAAACCTTTAAACCATTCAAAGGACTTGGTGTATAACAGTGTCTTAATAAATAAAAATATTGCTAAAAATCACATTATTTTTGTTACATGTACTTAACCATTTATGTGCCTTGGGTACCGGATGTGTTTCAATCCAGCTACCACCGCAAGTATATTTCAAACCTGTAAAAAACACTGTGTATATATATTTTATAATATTATGTTATTTAAAAAGATATATAAAAATGATAATAAAAATTATTTTTTCAACACATTAAATAATTAAAACATTTCTAAACGTAATGGTTTTATTAACTCATTTCTAATAACTGATTTATTTTATCTTTGTCATGATGACAGTAAATAATATTTTACTAGATATTTGTTAAGACACTTCTATACAGCTTAAAGTGACATTTAAAGGTTTAACTAGGTTAATTAGGTTAACTAAGCAGGTTAGAGTAATTAGGCAAGTTATTGTATAATGATGGTTTATTTTGTAGATTATCGAATAAATATAACTTAAAGGGGCTAATAATTTTTACCTTAAAATGGTTAAGAAAATTAAAAACTGCTTTCATTCTAGCCAAAATAAAACAAGCAAGACTTTCTCCAGAAGAAAAAATATTATCACACATACTGTGAAAATTTCCTTGCTCTGTTAAATTGCCATCTCCTTCAGTTCTGATCTTTTAGAATTCACTTCAACATGCTGATCTCATTCTCTAAATCATTGTTATATTACCATATCTTTACAGTTTTTTTCAGCATTCTATGAATATAGCAAAGTTAATGTCTAATATGTCCTTTCTGATTGACTGACTCCAAACATTTGAAGGATAATCTTAACACAGTGACAAGTTTACATTCAGTGCAAGTGCGTTTTCACACCTCAAATGTGTTTTTGCTCATTCCGGTTAGCCCATAATAGGACGTGCCCGTTGCAACAGCCGACACGCAGATCTCTCCTATCTCATCAGCTTTACACAGTTGAGGAACGCCCTCCACTTTAACGACACACACCACCGCTGAAAGACACCAAGAAAAGTCAGTTTTACAAGAGCCATAAAGCCGTTTGATGAATTCTGCGGTCGCATGAGGAAAACAGGCTGCTTTATAAGGGACACATTGGAACGGAATCAAAATGCATTGGCGTTCTGGTAGTTTCTGTACCTCCTGGCATGGCTGTGCCCACGTCCTGCAGGGTGAGGACGGACAGCTTCTCTCCTGTGTCCACCCGAATCACCCCGTGGCTCAAGTTGGTCATACTCAGGACCCCTCGGCCTGCAGGCTTTGAGCTGCTCTCCTGAGGCCTGACGAAGAAGAAACACATGCATACAAACAGATGAAGAAATAAACATGTCCATATGTGGTGCTGGAATATTGTGTTACCATAGACACGATATTTTTTCATACAAACAATATGGAATTGTGTGGTTTGGCTCCACAAGCCCTGACAAAACGAGAATGCTGGGTTTGATTGGTTGGAGTAGATGTATTCTCACGGTCTTAAAAGTAAGAAATAAAAGTTTAGCCAAAGTAAATAAAAGATTAGCCAGGTTGTTACGACTGAAGTTTATTTATTTTTTTATTATTATTGCGGATTGTACTCCTTTTTCTTTTGTCCCGCATCCTTGCTGTTTTTCTGCTGTCTGATAGGCTCCCACGCCGGAATGATTCCCTGCTCTGATTGGCTGCTGGTCTACGAGGCCTGTATAAAAGGGAGCTTCCGGCAGGAATCTGAGAGCTCATTTCTGCTACGTTCGGTGTTTGGAGTGGAGCTCCTGGGTTTCCCTCACCCCTTCGGCCGACGACCAACAATAATCACCTTTGTATTGATGACCATCCTATGCTTGAATATTTATTGAGAGTTTGAGCGTGTAGGGGTGACCTGCCTATTTATTTGATTACTTTTGACTTTGTTTATATTAGGGAGTCAGGTAAGATTCTTGTATGTTTCTTTAAATAGTAATAGGTAATTTAGTGGATTTATTTTATAGATTCTTTTGTTTGTTATTTTGGCCTGTGGTCACCCTGACGAAATGCTCGTTTATATAAACCCTACTTTTCTATAATAAATATCTTCATATATACTCTCAATTGAGTGTGTGAGTTTGGTTGGAAATCCACCACCCCAACACATTTGTTTGTTCTTCGTTTATTATGCCCTTTTTGTTTCCCCTAGACTTGGGGTGTAATACAGGTATTTTCATTGTGTGATGTCTACCACCACTTTTGAAATTTGCATAAATACCCCTGAATGTGTTAAAATATCTCATGAAATTCATATTATTTTGTTTATTTTTAAATTTATATTTATCTTTTATATGTTGATTTAGTGTGTTTATGCTTAATAAAAGTTCAATTTGAAAACCTTTAAACAAAGGTGTAAAAGAGATGCAAAAATTCTGTTCTTTTAAACCGTCTGCTCACCAAAACATCCTAAAAAAACACATCATAGTTTCACAAAAGCATTAAGCAGCACATCTTTTTTAACATTAACAATAATGATCTTAAATGTTTCTTGAGGCACTAAATCAGCATAACAAATTGATTTCTGAAAGATCAAGTAACACTGAATATTATTAACATCAGCGTCTATTTAGATTTTAAAATATCATTTAAATTATAAATAGACATTGATATTAATCATATTAACACATTAAAGTGTATATTGAACATTTGGATTGATATTTCCCTAAATATTTATTTGGTGCTGCAAGAAATAGATCTTATAATTACTACACTCACCGGCCACTTTATTAGATACACCTTACTAGTACTGGGTCGGACCCGCTTTTGCCTTCAGAAATGCCTTAATCCTTCGTGACATAGATTCAACAAGGTACTACAAATATTCCTCAGAGACTTTGGTCCATATTGACGTGATAGCATCGCACAGTTGTGGCAGATTTCTCAGCTGCACATCCATGATGTGGATCTCCCATTCCACCACATCCCAAAGGTGATTTATTGGACTGTTGAGACCATTTCAGTACAGTGAACTTTCTGTAATTTTCAAGAAACCAGTCTGAGATGATTCGTGCTTTATGACATGGTGCGTTATTCTGCTGGAAGTAGCCATCAGAAGATGGGTACACTGTGGTCATTAAGGGATGAACATGGTTAGCAACAATACTCAGGTAGGCTGTGGTGTTGACACTATCCACAATTGATACTATTGGGCTCAAAGTGTTCCAAGAAAATATCCCTCATATCATTACCACCACCTCCAGCCAGAACAGTTGATACAAGTCAGGGTGGACTCATGCTTTTTATGTTGTTGATGTCAAATTCTGACCCTGCCATCCGAATGTCGAAGCAGAAATCGAGACTCATCAGAACAGGCAAAATTTTTCCAATCTTCTGTTGTCCAGTTTTGGTGAGCCTGTGTAAATTGTAGCCTCAGTTTCCTGTTCTTAGCTGACAGGAGTGGCACTTGGTGTGGTCTTCTGCTGCTGTAGCCCATCCGCCTTAAGGTTTGACATGTTGTGCGTTCAGAGATGCTCTTCTGCATACCTGGACTGTAACGATTGTAGTTACTTGAGTCATTGTTGCTTTTCCATCCGCTCAAACCAGTAGCCATTCTCCTCTGACCTCAGGCATTAACAAAGCATTTGCACCCACAGAACTGCCGCCCACTGGATATTTTCTTTTTTTCAGACCATTCTCTGGAAACGCTAGAGATGATTGTGCGTGAAAATCCCAGTAGATCAGCAGTTTCTGAAATACTCAGACCAGCCCCTCTAACACCAACAACCATGCCACGCTCTAAGTCACTTAAATCACCCTTCTCTTTCTGATGCTCGGTTTTAAACGCATTGAGTTGCTACCATGTGAGAAAATTTTTACATTAGAAATTTGCGTTAACAAGCAGTTAGACAGGTGTACCTAATAAAGTGGCCGGTGAGGGTATCATTAAACAGTAAAAACTTCAATGTAAATGTATGAAACAGCATTTTACTTGACAAGATAATTTTAGTCTAATTAACTTTTTTCAACTGCTATTTTGATCAACTTAATGTGCTAATTAAAATTGCAAAATTTCTCAAAATTAATAAAATCCTTCAGACCTCCATAGACAGAACTATAAAGATGCATCATAAATAGGCATAATTTGTTTACTCACAGCATTAATCAATTTTCCAAAGCCATTCTAATGCAAACCACACAAAAACAGTAAAATAATAATAATAAATTGGGTCTATTCAGGTTGGTTGACTTAATGAAACTTTTTACATTTTTCAAATCAAATTATTCCACAATGCTATAGCGCACCGTTTTCAGGAAAAACTAGATATGATAAAGACGGTCTTGCAAAAAATATCCAACAGTACAGTACAATAACACTTGCTGTATTTGACTTAGGATTTTGCCTAGTATCTGATTTCACATTTACCAACCTCTAAATGGCACATATTAAAGTTAACACTAGTTGATAACTTCAAACATCAGTAAAGCAATTCTTGGCGATATAACCCAGACTTCATGGCGATATGGAAAAGTCTGGCAACCCTAAAGTAATATCCATCTGCTGGTACGATAACACGATTTAAACTCAGACCACACACAAATACAATTAAATGCATTTTAATGATTGATTAAGAAGCAGGAGTTAAGATGACGTTAAAAACTAAGTCAGATGTCTCTCTTAATAGTTCTGCGTGTATGAATGTGCGCGGGCCTGGTTATATTGTTTGTAATGTGCGACCACAAGACAGAACCTCCCATTTTAATGAGTTTAAACTGAAAACAGATTCCTCAGCACATGTGAGTCTCCTGGGCAAATAAGAGTGCGAGTGTGTGTTTATACCTCCTCAGAGCGACGGTTAGAGCCTCGGGGGAACCAGCACATGGGCATATGACCTCTGACCTCAAGCCCATGTTCTGAAACACGTTCAGGAACGCGTCGCAGGAGGATATCGACCCTGGGACAGAAAGATAGACAAAGTTTACTGTATATGAGCAATTCCAGCGTTATGGATATGACATTTGCACTAAAATCTCAAAACATAAAATCAAATAGAAAGTATATGTTAATGTTATATTGAAACATCTGTTTACATTTTCCAAATCAACTGACCACAGAGTTACGGAATCAGAAAAATATCAATCTGTAAACATGTTTTGTACTTTACATGAGAAAAAATAAACATACGTTACGAATGTGACAAAAAAGTAATCAAGTTTGCAGTAACATACTTTGTAGAAATTCTGTAAATTAAACTGCACAACTCAAAAGAAATAATGATAATCAAAAGAATAAAATATGTCTCTCTATAGAACAAAAATGAATGATGTTATTTTATTTAATATTTTTGCATCTATGAGGAAAAAGTATCGTTATGGATGTGCCGTCTCTTCGTAATGGATACAACCGATGTGAAATTGCCACTTGTGTGACTTTGGTAAATCAAATATAATAGTTTAGAAACACTGACAGAGACATTTTTTAGTATTTCTAAAGTGCTTTAAAACACTTGCTTACACAAAAACTTAGAAATGGTTTCCGTATTTTGGTAAAAAATGTCATTTATTCATGGAAAGGTTGACATTTGCATGGAATTTCTCATATACTTTAAGTGAATTTACAAAAAATTACACACTTTAGGTGGTTTGGTATAGTGTTGTCATGATACTGGTGTTTTTTTCACTTCGATACACTCAAAAAAAATGAAATTTGCTGTTTGTTCAAACTACTTATTTAAATCGAGCTGAAACAACACAATTCTTGAGGTTCTCTGGAGGACTACATAATTGATTTGTAATTTAATAAGGTTATGTGTACTTCGATTTGTAAAAACTAATAAGTTAAATTAATTACTTGATGTTGTCCCAACACAAATCAATTGTGTGGAACCCAACATTTTTTACAGTGTATGACACTTTAAAAATACTGATACTCAATGCCTTTTTTTGACACCACTGGGAAAAAAATCACAACAGTATTCATTAAATGTATAATATTGCTGTATTTCTGGAATAACGTTCTATTTTTCACTGTTAAAAATCTCAATCATGGCACAATTCAAAGAACTGTTACTACAGGTGCGTTTATGCCAGTTGTTCAGATTTTCATTGACCAGCCTACGCTTTTACTTGTCCAGCTAAACAAATATTCATTGTTATAATATGATAATATAATATTTACATTTTTATTGTATTGACATAAAGAAGTATAAATGATGATTCATATGGCATTTTGCATTCTAATAAATGCATAATAAATTATTTATTTTATTAGAGAAGAAAGCATAAGCACAACCTAAAGATAAAAAATTAATTGAAGACAAGCAAACAGAAATTAATTATAAAAAAAAAAACTAAATACAACCAAATACCACAAATAAATACAACGGAACAATATAAAACTGTGCTTAAAGCTATAGTTAGCCTTTTCCAATACGATTTACTCTGTCAGGTTTCAAACCTTTAAAAGTTTCCTTTTATGTTGAACACAAAAGAAGATATTTTGAAAAATGTTAAAAAACTGTAACCACTGATTTTCAAAATAGGAAAAAAATACTATGGAGGTCAATGGTTACAGGTTTGCAACATTTCTCAAAATGTCTTCTTTTGTGTTTAACAGTTTGTCACAAGTGAATTTTCAGTTTTGGCTCAACTATCCTTTTACCATTGTTTAGGTAAGTCTAACAGTGATTTGTTTTTTTGGCAACACTCGTTCGATAGGTCATGGACATACTCACAGGGGTTCGACCCATCAGCGATGAGCAGCATTCTCAATGAGCTCATGTTGGTGTCCGGCTGCTCTTTGTGGGCCATCAGAGCCCAGTGTAGATCCCTGCTCTTCACACACGCCACTTTAGCTGAATACACAAAGGAAAATGAGACTAATTATTAACCAGAATAGTTATACTGCATCTGACACTATAGGGCTTTTCACACACGCTGGGTCATTCTAAACCCTGGAAAAAAAGAAATTCCTGGGTTATTTGATTCAACATGTGTTACACTGCTCATTAATTAACATGTAGTTAATAGTTAAATTTACGCTGATATTTCTCACTGTACAATCCTAAACCTTGGGCAAATTCACAATGATAGTGCGATTGACAGGACAAACACAGAATGTGATCTGCATATTATAATCAGCACATGTCCTATAAATACTGCTATCAGGTTTTTAATGAATGGACAACAAGAGTAAAATAAATAAAATAAACAGTCCCTCCAAATTTCAACTTGAGATGTTTTTCATCACCTATTGACATTTTCCCCCTCAAACAAGGTTTAAACCTTTTTTGCAAACATTATTTTATACATTCAAAATCTTAATGATAAAATTACATCAAAACTAAGGCTACCTTCCGCATTTGTCTAAACCAGTCTATAGTCTGAATAAAAACGGCAGACAATCTGACTGAAAATGTAAACAGAAATCTGACAGTAGCTATTGAGAACTAAAAGAGTCGTTTCACCAGTAACCACTGAACAAAACATTACTTTATTAGGCAGTAGACTTGACATTTTTTAAATTGTGGGAGGGGAAAAAAAAAAAAAAAATCAAGGTAACAATTTATTTTATAGGTCCATTTGAGTATTAGTAGACTGTCTGCTTAATATCTGTTAATACTGCTGCTAAACAGACATTTAACTGATTATAAGAAACTTTGCAAGTACATGTCAACTTACACTAACCCTAACCCCAACCTAACAGTCCTATATACATATAATCTAACAAGAATTTGTTGGCATGTAGATGCAATGTAACTTAAATTCAACAAACAGACCAACAAAAGTGTGACCAAAATCAAAATTATTTAAAGGAAAAAACTAAAAATTGTTCTATTGTGTTTATGTTTAGGGGTAGTTCAGTTGCTGTAAAATATTTGCATATCAATGTAACTTCACCAAACCTCCTAATAGCTGCAACACGAGGACTTTCATGACAATTTATGAGCATCAAAAGCTCTGTATCAAATTATTTGACAGTCTGTCACTGCATCTCAAACAACTCAAAATAATACAAAACAATATAACTAAATCAATTTCTGCTGCTCTGAGCGAGAGCGCTTCTATTCCTGTTAAACAGAACAGTCGCAAAATCGATGATGAAAGCATGCTCCAGCTCAGAAGGAAAAAACACAGTGTGAGAGCAGGCTCTCCGGGGGAGGAGGGATCAGGCACAATCACACCCCGGCACAGTTCAAGTCAACCGAGCCTAGTGTGAGTACACCCTGCGTATAGCAAGGAAATCTGTATAAACCGGAGTATGTTTGAGTACCTTTGTACTGGCAGACTTTTTGGATCCAGGACAGAGGATTCACCTTCATAAGTGCATAGGGAACACTGACCACATGTAACATATTCAATACACTCTGCAGAGAGAGAGAGAGAAAAAAAAAGAGAATTCACTTTTTCAAAAACAAAAATAAAAACCAGTGTAAACAAGCTGTAATCTGCCAAATGATTATTTAAAGTGAGTCAGTGATTTTACCGTTTGAACACTGTGCCAAAGGCCAATGCCTTTTTTAAAGTCCAACACGTTCACCACAGTCTCAGCTGAAACAAACACAAACGAACCATTTAGAAATGAAAAAAAAAAAAAGTTATACAGGTTTTGCAAGGACAATTTAATTGAGTGTGTGTAATTATATTTTTCTGTGTCTTACCTTCACTGTATCCACAGGTGTGTGTAAGAGTTTGGCAGTGTGAGAGCATCGCCATCCTTGTCACGGTTATCCCCATCACACTGCCATCCTTACAGGTCTTATACTGTAAATCAACAACACAAACACAAAATGTAAATGTGATGATATTGTATTGGCAGTGAATTACAAACAGATGCTCTCGCATATCAAGCAATATAATATATTTAAATTGCATAATGCATTATTAATTCATTACTGTTTAAAAGACTGAAGTCTGTGAGGCTTTTTTTTTTGGTTTTGGATGAAATCATATTCTCTGTCGAGGGTGCAATTGTTTAATGAAGTAAAGAAAAAACACTCTGTAAAACCCAAAAAGTTAAGGTAATCAAAACCTTTTGAGGAAACCGATTAAAACAAACCATTTAAGTAAAAATCTAACCTATATGAGTACTGTGAACTTACTCTATTTAAGTCGAAGTAGTGAGGTATTTCATTAACTCATTACCTTCAACACTGAGTTCAAAACTCTTTTCAAATGAGTAGAATTAACTTGCAGTAAATTTTAAGTTAACTACACTCATTTCATTTGATAAAGTTGACTGTTGGGTTTTACAGTGTAGTAAAAAAAAATCTAATTTTTTTTTTTACAATTTGAAACAACATTTTTCTAGTTTAATGTATTTTAAAATTATTTTTTTCCTGTGATGATAAAGTTGTTTTTTTCCATTTGTTTCAAGTGGCCTGTGATCATATTATATGCTGATTTGATGCTCTTATTGTAAATTATGTAAAAATTTGATATATGTACTATATGTTTATGATTTAAATGATTTTTTTTCATGATGAACACAAATATTAACTTTAAAAAAAACAATATATCATATTACTAACCTCAAACTTTTTAATGAAAGAACATTATTTTAAAAATATGATCATATTGTGATACATGATCATATATTCAATACACATAAACAAAAAAAGACATGAATTTGAGGTGAAATGGCAGTGTGTTTTACCTCTATGTATGCGGTGTCATTGTTGGCATCTTTAATTAGAGGAAACCACTCCCGAGGGGGTTTAGATAAATGTTTAGAGTCAGTCAGCACCCAGAGCAACTTTGGCCAACCTAAACAAACAAACACACACACAGAGAACACAAGCATGCAAATTAGTAACAATGTAAACATATACACTGTATAAAATATGCACATTTCTCTATCATGTGCAGGTGATTTCAACAAACATGATGATGTGTCTGACCTTTAAACTGCATGACGTCACCACTAGCACTCTTAGGAAGACCTTTATGACACGCATCGCTGGCTAACGCCACAGTTACACCACAGCTACCCAACAGAAACCCAATCTGTTGACTCCCAGCATCCTATAGAGGAGAGAGCAGAAAGACACACCTCAGCCAAGTGTTTGTAAAAGAAAAATAATAATTTTGTTGAAATATTACCTTCAATAACTATTAGATCTTAGGTGCATCCCAAATCGCATACTTATGCACTTTTCCACGCCATTTTGTAGTATAAATAGTGCGTTCACGCTGAAAACTCTAATAATAATAAGTTCATTTTAATTACCCGTATGATGCACTCATTCAGCCGGTAAAATGAAGAGTGGAATGATGGACATTTTATGCCCTCAACGACAGCAGTTTTGCTAATGTAGCAGAAGGGGCAGAGCTATCGGGCATACATGTTGGATAACTTCAATTATTTTGGATTGTGAAAGCACCTCCTGGTGGTAAATGCGGTCATACTCATGGCAGGTATTATTTGGTACTTTGGTCATTTATTTCACTAATTTGGCAACCGTCAAATGCCATCTGGGAAACGGTTTGGATTTCCACTTAGTAAAAAAACATTAGTGTTCCATTTGGGACGATGCTACATTCATATATGATGTTGTTGAGTGTGTAAGTGCATAAGTAAATAGTGTGGGACGCAGCTCTTGTGAATATTTCAAAAAGACTCTGCTGTAGAAGTTACCTTCTTTGTAAGTGGTACTTCAATTGGAACAGGAACAACTTCAGCCAAAAGGCAGCCATAAAACGCCACCATGAACGCTGCTGGGTCACTATTAGGATAAACCAATGCTACCTGCAGAAACACACACACACAGTCTTTATTCTTCACCAGTTCTTGAATACAAATCTGTATAATGTTGTGTCTTTATAATGGACTTATTTAGAACAGTTCAAACATTCGAAAATTAGTATGATATTGTTTTGTGGTTTGTACGACATCTTATGCTTACTGAGGCTGCATTTCCTTGATGAAAGATTGTAAAAACAGTAATAATGCAGTTTTTTATTATTATGATTTGTTAATAACCATTTTCTATTTTAAAATGTTTTTAAAAAGGTGAAACTACAATGAGGCTGTATTAGTTCATGTTAGTTAATGCATTTACTAACACAAACAAACAATGGACATAACATTTATTACAGTAATTATTAAAGTTTGTTAATGTAAATTCATGGAAATAATGTTATTCATTGTCAGTTCTTGTTAGTATAGATAGTATAGTTAGTATACAGTGAATTAACTAATGTTAACAAGCATGAATTTAGATTTCAATACTGCATAAGTAAATGTTGTTCATGTATTATTAGTTTATTTTAGTAAATAAATTAAACCTAATTGTAAAGGTTGACGTTAAATATAATTTATTCCTATAAAGACAAAGCTGAATTTTCAGCATCATTACTCCAGCCTTCAGTGTCACAGGATGCGTCAGAAATCCCTCTAGCCTGGTGCTCAAGAAAGATTTCTAAAAATCATTATTGTTAAATAAATTTGCTGTTAAATACAAAAAAAAACTTGATAATTTTTTTTCAAGATTGTTAGGTAAATATAAAATTCAAAAGAAGAAAAAAATTAAACAATATACGACAAAAAAAAAATGTTTTCTTAAAATTATAAATATATTTACTGCTGTTTTTAAGCCTCTTAATGCTTCCTTTAAAAGCCAATTATTTATTTATAAAATAATTTAATACATTTTTAAAAAAAATTAAAAAGGGAAGTGGAGAGTGAAGACAGGAAAGTATTGGGAGCAGAAAGAGGGAAACATGGATCTTGAACCGGAAATTGAACTTGGGTCATCGTAAACGTTATGTGTTGACGAACTAACCACTAGACTATTGGTGCTGACAAAAGCCAATCATACTGTACATTTTAAAACAACATATAACACTATACAATACAACCACTCACCCGGTCTCCAGGATGGATAATTGGCTCTTGTTTGGATCCCAGTTTATGGAGGAGGTTATAGGCCAACTTCAAACTCCTGGACCAAAGCTTACCTACAAACAATCACATATTAAAATCCACACATAACCAATATTATAAGATCAAGTTGCTGTCTATGAATGTGTGTACCATATGTAAGTGTGTACGGTTGTTTGGCATTGCTGTGTGTAGTGGTCAGGCAGGGGGCTTTGGGTGCAATGGCTCCCCAGCGCAGGAGAGCCGCTTCCAGGGAGGCGGGGCAATTTTTCAGTCTGTCCAACTCCTCTCCTTCTATGGGGATTGACTCCGCCCCTTCTGGGCGTGGCAGAGACGGATCAGGCTGCTGCACTGCAAACGGGAACATTAAAGAAAAGAATTTACAAACACATTTTAATGCATTTTTTCCTTTAAGAGTGATTTGCATAGCTCTTTAGACTTATTTAGAACATGTAAAAGATAAAAATGCAGAAAAAATACACTCTATTATTTTTTGAAAAAAAAAAAAAAAAAAAAAATATATATATATATATATATATATATATATATACAAAAAATGAGCTGAAACAACACAGTTTTTATGGAGGGACAACTTAATTATTTTAAATCCACTTAAATTTGTAAATACTAATAACTAATTACTTTTCTGTATTGCTGAAGGACTAATTTCATATATCTGTTTACTTAATATATCTGAAATATTAAAAAGTTTAGTGATGAACAAAAAATAAGGTCAAGAATCTTGGTGTGACTCTGGAGTCTGGAGTGTGCTACGTCCAACAGATTGCACTACTATGTTTTTCTTTTTCATTCTTTTATAACCTTTTTTAACTCATTTAAATCTGTTTTTATCTGTTTTTAATAATTTTATTGTTTGTTTTTTATGTTTTCAAACTTGTCTTTTTTATTCTTGTTTATGTAAAGCACTTTGAATTGCCACTGTGTATGAAATGTGCTATATGAATAAACACCTTGCCTTGCGTGGTGCAATTTTTTTTTGCATTACTTAAGCATCTATAACTTTTTTCGTTTTAAGCATTACAAACTCTGACGATGGATAGAAATGCCGAAACTTTCTTCTTTTCAAAGATACATGAACTGTGAATGTGGATCAAATTATTCAGCAACTGTTACTGTTTTAGTTTGGGAAAGTCATTTTTGAGAAAATGCCCCTGACCGTGAGGGAGAGAAGGCCAAAGATGTAGTCCTGGAATACTTTTAGCAGAGATCTCATTTTGTATTTTTTTATATGTTATAAAATATATTACATGGCTGATTTCATGGGTTTGTATGTGGAAAAACTAATATTGAACAGTACAATTTTGCTTACTCATTACTTCATAATCTATAACTTTTTATATTTTTTGCATGAAATTTAGTTCAAAGTGTCTTCTTTCCAATGAGATCTATTTTTTGCTTCTAGGTCACTGAGGTCAAGAAATGTTACTGCTTAAATTTAGGTAGGTGTAAATCCTCAAAAGTGAGTGCTAACTTAATTCCTTCATTTTGCCTCAACACAAATCGATCATGTGACATCCAACACTTTTTTACAGTGTGCAATTACAAAGCAAAATAATACAACAAAATACAATAACTGTAACTCATATACAGTTGAAATCAGAATTATTAGCCCCCCTTTGAATTTATTTTCCTTTTTTAAATATTTCCCAAATTATGTTTAAAAGAGCAAGGAAATTTTCACAGTATGTCTGATAATATTTTTTCTTCTGGAGAAAGTCTTATTTGTTTTATTTCAGGTAGAATAAAAACAGTTATTAATTTTTTTAAAAACCATTTTAAGGTCAAAATTATTAGCCCCTTTTAAGCTAAATTTTTCGATAGTCTACAGAACAAACCATCGTTATACAATAACTTGCCTAATTACCCTAACCTGTCTAGTTAAACTAATTAACCTAGTTAAGCCTTTAAATGTCACTTTAAGCTGTTTAGAAGTGTCTTGAAAAATATCTATTAAAATATTATTTACTGTCATCATGGCAGTAATTATTCCAACCCCTTTTCCACTTTAGAGCAATTAAAAATAACAATCCATAACAATAAATAATAATATCGACAATAGTCATCAAATTAACACCATGATTCGGTCATCATCTCATTTTTATTCTAATACACTAACTAAATAAACCATAGGAACATCAATCAAACCTGTTCTTCTTCCATATACATTCGGAAAACCATATTCTTATACTGGTTTTTAAAGTGAGTCACACTTGGACACTATGCTGAAGTGATAAATTTTTCCTCAGTTCTTGCTTTCTCTAGAAATCGAACCGGCAACTTTAGTGTTGCTAGCACCATAATCTACTCATTATGAAATCTTATTCCATGAAATTGTGTCGTTATTTACTTAATGTCCTGAAAGACAACATGAGGGCAAGTAAACCATGACAGGATTGTAATTCCTAAATGAACTATCCCTTTAAGAGCTTCACCTGGATCTCAGTAAAAATAGCTAGGTTAAATTCCATTCAGTGCAGAGTAATGAATTTTAAGACCTTTGACCTGGCAGTTAATACTATGGTAGAATGAGAAGAGTTTTTATAAACCGGTGCATGCAGAGGCTAAAATTAACACTGGTAAAATACCAAATTAATGTCTATTAGTATATGAAAGCACGTTTTCAGCAATATTATATGAACTCCCTAAAATAATGCTTAAGAATGCAATATATTTAAACGTGATTATCAAAGCATAAAGAGGGTGTTTTAAATATATAAATCTGTCATGTGATGTGACTGTGATGTTTTGATGTGAAGAGCTCATGACAGTGTTTTCATTGTTTCTGAGTGGTTCAGTTGAGTTCACGGCTCCCCACAAACACAACTGCAGTGAATATGTCTCTTACAATATGCATTTGAAAATGCAACCTGCTTATAATGACATGTATTATGACGGATTATAAATCTGATGTACACAAAAGAGATTTTCCATCAAAATAAAAACACTATTGTTTATTTTTTATTATTATCATTTAATATAATGAATTAATTATATTAATTATAATTATTATAATTTTACAATGTAAAATTTTAGTGATACAATGGTAAAACAGTGATTTCTTTACTGATTTGTTAAGTGATAATTGCAATTAGATGTATAAACCCAAGAGTTTTTATTGAAATCATTCAAATACAGTTTTATGATTGGTAAAAATAAATAAATAATACTATTTGATATGTACAGTAGGCAATATTGGAAGTGGCTAAAAAGTTTTTGCAAACTCTGCAATAGTTACTGTCTGAGATTTTTTTTAAATTGGGTTATATTTTATATAACTATACGTTTACACATTTATGAAATTATAAAAGCTTATTTATTAAGTTAAGTTTTTATAGTGTTTGATGTTTTTTTATGTTTTTGTTGGGTCTGATGCTACAGAATTTTGTCCTGCATTTCAATTTATTGTGATGTTTTAAATGACAAAAATAAAGAAAACTCAAACTGAAACTGGTTTTAAATAAATAAATAAAAACAATTTGATATATACCGTCAATATTGGAAGTGGCCAAAAAATTAAGTTTTTGTATTAATAAATAATATGACAAATAAACTAATAAATGTATTTATGAATAAACTAATAAATACAATAATAAACCTAATAATTGTATTATTAAACAAACTAATAAATGTATTAGCAAATAAACTCATAAATGCATTAACAAATAAACTAATAAATATATTAATAAATAAAATCATAAATGCATTAATAAATAAATTAATAAATGTATTATTAAATAAACTAATAAATGTATTAATAAATAAACTTATAAATGTATTTCTCTACTGATTCATTTAGTATTAATTGCAATAAGATGTATTTACACAATTTATTTTGACAGTTTTTAATTAAATCATTTAAATAATTTTATGACTGGTAGAACTAAACAAATTATTTAATAAAAAATAAATATTTGATATATTATTAGTCAATATTTTTGTATTATGAATAAATAATATAAGTAAACTAATAGATGTATTAATAAATAAACTAATAAATGTATTTCTTCACTGATTTATTTAGTATTTATTGCAATGAGATGTATTTACCAAATTTATTCTGACACTTTTTAGTGAAATCATTTAAACACAGTTTTATCACTGGTAAAAATAAAAATAATAGCAACAACTATGTGATATGTACAGTGGTCAACATTTAAAGTGACTTAAGATAATTTTATTGTATTATAAATAAATAGTAGAATAAATAAACATATAAATGTATCAATATTTTAATCTATGCTTATACAAATATTAGTGTTGTTCAATTAACATTTTACATTTAGGAAAACTTTCATTAAATGTTTTGATCCACCTTTAATGTTTTGCATATATACATGTGTATTGTTCTATGATTTGTAACTGATGTTATACAGTATATATGTGCTCATTCTTTTTGCAGAAATATTCAAAATAAAAACCTTTGGACACACAGAAAAAGGAAAACATTTAAACCTTCCAGAAGTTCTTCAAAATCCTCCACAAAGAATTCTCTTAGAGGTCTTCGCTTTGGTCGTTTTAGTGTATTAACTAGCTGCTGGATCTTTGCTGACACACGGCTACTGACAGGAACACCTGCACACAAACACAATCATATATAAGGTGCAATATAATAAGCATAACAAAATTTATTACATACATTTTGTGATGATAACAACAGGATAAACTAATTTTTGTAGTATTAAAATGATAGTTCAGCTAAAAATGAAAAATTCTGTCAACATTTACTTACACTACATCACTTGTAGTACAACAAAGCTAAATTCTTGAATTTTTTTTAAGAGTATTCACTGACTTCCATTGTATTTTTTCTCACCATGTATGCCAATGGCTACTGGTTTCCACCATTCTTCAAAATATCTTACACAGTGTAAAATACACTAGAGCAGTGGTTCTCAAACTGTGGTACATGTGCCACTAGTGGTACGCAGGCTTCCTTCTAGTGGTATGCGGAGGAATGAAATATGTCATGTACATGCTACACACATTTCAAAATTTATCAAAAATGATGTATATAATAGGTCATATTTGACATATAGACTATATTTCTGAGGTAATCTGCCACATTTTTTAACTGTGCAGAGTTGTAGCTGCTTTCCTAGGCCTACTACGCTACTGTATTTCAACACCGCTCATTTTGGTGGTACCTGGAGAGACCATTTTTTTCTGAGGAGGTACTTGATGAAAAAAGCTTGAGAACCACTGTACTAGAGGGTGAGTAAAATGCTGAGCACGTTTTCGCTTTTGGGTGAGCTGTCTCTTTAAATAGTGTTTGTTTTGTCATTTGAAATTCCTCCACACTGCAGGAACACGTGAAACAAAACAGCCCCACTCACCATCTCCTGTCTCCATCAGCTCAGCATTACCATATTTGGGCGGGGGTCTGGTAATCATGGCGATTTGTGGACGATGAACCAAAATGGGGGCGGAGTCTGGCATGTAGCTAGTGATGTCAGGAGGAGCCGACAGACTGTCTGCAGTACACAAACAAACATGTTAACTCTTGAGCAGAGTAGCATACAGCAATTCATTTACCTAACAGATTTGATGATTCCATATTATTTGTAAGGAATGAGATACAAAAGCACATATAATAACAATAATGATGTATACGTATCAAACAGTGCTGTTTTTCAAACCTTTCCATTCGAATCAAAGACCGTTGTTTACATTGATCTATAGTTTGTTGATAAAACACCAGTAGATTCATATGAATATGCATGCACAGCTAAATAAAAGGAATGGTGCACAAAAAACAAAAACTCTGTCATCATTTACTTGTCTTTACTTTTCACAAATCTGTTTGATTTTCTTTGTTCAGTTGAACACAAAAGAAGCTATTTTGAAAAATGTTGGAAGCTTTTAAACATTAACTTCCATAGTATGTGTTTTTCCTACTATGGAAGCAAATGGTTACCAGTTTCCAACATTCTTCAAAACATCTTCTTTTGTGCTCAACAGAATAAGGAATCTCATAAAGGAGTGAATGTTGAGTAAATGTTTATTTTGGGGTGAACTACCCCTTTAACCCTTGTGTGCACAGTTATCTTAAAGGGACAGTTCACTCAAAAGGAAGATTTGTTCATACTTTATTACTCCACAGCCTGTGGTATTTTAAACAAACAATAAAAACTTCCTTTGCATGGAAACAAAATGCAGTAGCACTTTATTTTAAGCAGCAATTCTCACTATTATCTACTGGCTTAATTAACTGCCTTTAACTAAGATATTTGTATGATATCAGCATGATTTCTTTCTGCATAATACCAGTTATACCATAATATCATAGCCCAACTACTACCTAAGGCAGTGTGCAAATCATACATTGATAATCGAGGGGAGGTCAACTTTTTCGTACGTTTCATCCGTTTACAATGTTTTCGAGGGATATTTAGGCCAAATCCCAATTCTACCCCTTAGCCCTTCCCCTTACCCCTCGATTTGAGCATTCACGCCAAGGGGTAGGGGTGTCCCAATTCTCTTTGGCTTGAAGGCGTAGAGCTAAAGGGAAGGGGTGAATACCCCTTTGAACAAAGATTTTTCAGGAACACACTCGAAACCAAGGGGTAAGAAAATTTCCCCGAATACACCAGCCACAACGGCAGAATAGTTACACCAGGAGGTAAGGAGATCCACAAATTTTTATTTTTGTAATTATTACGAATTTTTACAACAAACAAACACGTTTTAATACATTCATAACCGCATTCGTGTTTTACTGTCATGCTTTAGAAAAACACAAAAATAAAAACTATATAATTTATAATCCATAATAATAACTGCTGTACAGCAGTCCTGCAACATTCTGACACTCCATCACACTCAAATACCCTGTCAGGAAAGTCTAGTGGCTGGGAATGGGCTTTTTACGGTGTATAATGTCAATGTAAAGTTTCAGGTCAAAATACCCAAAAATAATGTTTTTTTCTCTTTGAAACTGACCCTTTTAGGATTTTATCAGAACTGTGACATTTTGGTGACTGTCACTTTAAATCCAAATGAGATTGTGCTCTTTTTAGAAGAAGGTGAAGCTACAAATGCCCATGTGTCAGCATAGTGGCAGATTTAAAAACAAGACTAGCATTCTATGCTTATAAGGGAGAGATCATCACTGGTGGGTGGGGTTTTCCCCCTCTGATGACTTATACAAAAGGAGAATGTCATTCAAAATGTTTCTTCAAACTGTTTATATGAAGTGTGTTTATAAAATATAAAATTAATAAACTTTTGCCATTAGAAACTGGTTATATTCACAGACTGTTGCCACACAGTTGGTCTAGTGTTTAAACCTTTATAAAAGTAATGTTTTTCATAATAGTGCCCTTTAATAACTATTAATAATCAGCTTATTAGGAGTTTATTAAAGCAAAAGTCACAATAAGAAGACAGTGCTTCCCACAGGTTTGAAATATACTTGCGGTGGTAGCCGGATTGAAACACCTTTTACCCACGGCACATGGTTAAAGTGTTTTTTAACAATATTTGTATTTATTATACACTGTTCCTTTTTTTGGTTTTATTTCGGGTTCTTTTTTTAAGACTGTTGAAATAAAAAAAGAAATCCACTATTTGTTTTACTTTTATTCTATCGAGGAGCCATGTGCACACACTGACAGGTAAAATCTGCTGCTGACATTTTGTACAGTATTGCCAAAGCATGTTAGATATGTATAAAATACGTAATACATTAACATCATCAAATTAAAAATATACACAGCAAATGAAAAATAAATGACTTAAAGGAATAAAAGCATCTATGAAATAAAAATGTCTAAAAAAATCATAATTACAAGAATAAAAAGTGTAGATTTAAATAAGGCAAATGAGTTAATTAACCATTTCTAACGGTGTACAAACATTTTGAAGCTAGTTTAGATGTAATTTCGTCCTCTCTGAGTGAATAGAAAAGTTTATCTGATTTGTTTATATTAAAGAATTAATTATATAATGTTTCTCTCGCTCTTGCGGCTGTGCATGCACTGTTAGCTGCGAAATCAAGTGAAAGTAAACCGGGCCTAAAATAAAAATGACGACGGCTTAAAAGGCGAAACCAAAAGTGAAATGCTGGACATTTTCGGAGATTTAGAAACCCCGGACAAATGCATATTTAAGTCCCAAAAAAGAGCGTCAATGAAGGTCTGTAGAGTACATGAGACTGTCTGTGAGAGTGTTGACAGTTCTTAAACAAACAACAAGAAGTAGAAAATGTGTGGGACGAGAGGAGATTTTCCACTATCGATTGTGGATGTTTGGCTATTGGGTGGATACAAAAAAAGTGTAAAAAGAGGATGATAATAAAAAATACATGTCACTAAATATATTTGGGCGGTCTTTTATATACCTGTGTGGCCCGCCTAAGTATAGTCTATGTGTGGGAACACTGGAAGATTATTAATAGCAAGAATGGAACCTTTTTCCCAAATATATACATTCCACTATATTCTGTCTGAACTAGATAAGAGTAAGAACATTACGACAGCATTTCCTTTACTGGGTGATTTTTTTTTATTTACCTTTGGTGATTATCAATTTGAACACTAAAGAATCATGAAACACTGACCCTCTGAATCCAGAGATGACCAAGGGCGATCTGAATGGTAGTCACTGGAATGCCTGACAACTATTCCATTCTCAGCAGAAACACCCATTTCTCTTAATCCCCGCCTTTTCAGAGACAGATGAGACATCGGACCAACTGAGGAGAGAGAGAAACATGAAGATTAATCTATAGCAATCAGAAAAGAACTATATAAGCAAATATCGGTTTTCTACGCGAGAAGCTGACGCTTAGTGTGAGGTGTTTATTGGCTAAAAGAAGTTGAGCATGAGAAGCTAAAAGGCTAAAATTGTTTGAGGAACGGGGCAGCATGGTGGCTAAGTGGATAGCACTGTCGCCTTACAGCAAGTTCGAGCCCAAGCTGGGCCAGTTGGCATTTCTGTGTGGGTTTCCTCCGGGTGCTTCAATTTCCCCCACAGTCCAAAGACATTTGGTATGGGTGAATAGGATGAACTTAATTGGCCGTAGTGTATAATGAATGTGTGTGTGTGTGAATGTGTGAATGAGAGTGTATGGGTGTTTCCCACAACTGGGTTAAGACTAGAAGGCTGTGTAAAATATAGGTGGTTTATTCAACTGTGGTGGTTCATTGCACTGTGTTAAATCAGGGACTAAGCCAAATTCATGTTTAAGCAATTGATTAACTGAAGGTAGTTGAGCATGAGAAGCTGGTTGGCTGATATGAGATGATCTCAGAATGAACGTTAATTTAAAAGAGACATTGATCAGATGCGACAAATGCTTATTTCAAATTAGAGTGTGACAAGCTGATTGGCTGAAATTGGTCAAAAAGCATGAGTTAAGCATGAGAAAGTAATTAATTGAGCAAACAGCCACTTTACATTGGCTAAAGTGGGCTAACCCTAAAGAGCTTATTGGCTAAAACAAGTTGAGCAAAATTAATTGATTTGCAAAGAGAGTTGAGCATGACTGACTGAAATGAGTCAAGCCAATATAACTGATTGGTTGAAGTGAGCTATATGTGAGAAGGTGATTGACAAAATTGACTGTGTAAATATTTATTGACTGAAGTAAACTTCACGTGAAAGGCTGATTGGCTGAATTTGGTTGAGCAAATAAAACTGACTGGCTGAAGATAGGTGAGCTTTAGAAGATAAGTATATGAATTTTAACAAACAGAACTGAGTGGACTAAGTGAGTTGAGCGTGAGAAGCTTACTGGTTGAAATCAGTCAAGCAAACAGAATTGATTGGCTGAAGTGAATTGAGCGTGAGAAGATAATTGGCTGAAATTAGCTGGCCAAACAGATTTAACTGACTAAAGTGAGCTTATGAAGCTGACTGGCTAAATACAACTGATTGGCTAATGTGAGCTAAGTGCAGTTTTATAACTGGCTGTGCTGGTTCAGAATGAGAAGCAGAATGTTTTTGCATTATAAAAGTATTTGTATATGAATTGAGTGCTAGAAGCTGATTGTGATAAATAGGCTGGGCAAATACAAAATATTTACTAGAAGTTAATTGGCTGAAATAAGATGATCTTAATAAAGAAAGTAACTTCAAAACATACACTCAAAAAATTACTTTTGCTCCTTTTTCAAACTACATAATTAAAATGAGCTGAAACCAGCGTTCCGGAAAGTTACTTTTGAAAAGTTATGCATTACAATATTGAGTTACTCCCCAAAAAAGTAACTAATTGCGTTACTTAGTTACTTTTTATAGAAAGTAATGCGTTATATTACTTTTGAATTAGTTTTACGTTACTTTTCCTTCCCTGGCTGAGGTTTGATCTCTTTTAGAACTTGCAGGTGTTTTACACCTTTTTATAGAAAAGCTCTGCATTTAACAACCACCTGTATAACCTACACATTCATTTTCCTTTAAAAAAATGTAGGATAAACATACTGGATAACCCCTCTGACTCAAAATAAACAAATATCCCGAGTTATTGAGTTACTAGAACAGTACATTGACTCATCTGCTAAAAGTCAATTAAGCAAGGTAAAAAGTAACTCTCGTTACATTTTTTAAATGTAACTCAAATAATAATAAAATTTTTAAAAGTAATGCGTTACTTTACTCGTTAGTTTGGAGAGGTAATATTATTGCATATTACATAACGTGCGTTACTTAAGACACGTCACCCCCAACACTGGTTGAAACACAATCCTTAAGGTTTCTGTTGGGATAACTTAACTGTTTTATGTGTTTAATATTAAGCTAACTTAACTGTAAGTAGAAAATTCTATTTTGAGAACGTTCTGAGTCCAGAACTATACATGCTGTATATACAGATTAATGAAAGGATGTAAAGTAATGTGTTTGATACTTTTGTATGTTTTGTGTTATTAGTTAAGTAAATTCACAATGCATTAAGATGAAGACCGCAATAAAGCCTAAGAGTACTAACAAGAAATAATTTATATTAAGGTAAAAACAGATTTTAACCTTTAAAATGTTTAACAACAACAAAATGAACAGTAAGTCGATAAAAAAATACCCAAATCAAAATAAATCTTTGAGCTTTGCATATTGTATAAATTGCTTCACGTGGCCTTAACAAATGTGGAAATCGCTTGTAAAAATATCTAAATCCATTGCAAAAAAACAAGTCTCCGTTGTTTCTGTTTCTTTGTGAATAAATAGTTTGTTTTTAACTGGATCTTCTCAATGAAATGATTGAACCAGTTAATTAAAAGTGAACAAAGTTGTCATGAAGCGCTTTGCGTCTTCAGTACTAACATACTGGATACCCCTCTGACTCGAAATAAACTAATATCCTGAGGTATTTAGTTACTAGAACAGTACACTGACTCATCTACTGTGAAAAAAGCACCCTTATTGGGTGTGTGATTAAACCGGACTAAGGTAATTTTTATTCCACAATATATTTTGTAAAAGTCAATTAAGCAGGGTAAAAAGTAACTAGCGTTAATTTTTTTTAAAGTAACTCAAATAATATTACTTATTTTTAAAAGTAATGTGTTACTTTAGAAAAGTAATATTATTACATAGCGTGGAATACTTATAACGCGTAACCCCAACACTGGTTGAAACAACACAATTCTTAAGGTTTTTGTTGGCATAACTTAATATTTTTTACAAATTTAAGTGTATTGAGCATTAAAAAATGAAGTTAACTTAATCGATTTGTGTTGAGGGAATCTTGTGGAGCCCAGCATTTTTTTTACAGTGTAAGATGCTTCTTTTAAATGAAGCGAGTAGTGCATAAAGATCTGACCGGCTTATTTCAGAAAGTGACCCAAATTGATCTCAGTGTCATTTGTCGCCAAGTGAGCATTTGTTTGCGTTCTTACTGGCGTATGTGTGCATGCTGGTCTCTGCCAGTCGGGCTGCGTTGGCAGAGCTGTTGCTGTGCGACGATGATGACGATGATGTTGAGGGAGAGCCGTGGAGAGCTCTGCTGATCCACGAGTCCACACTGACACCCCCTGCTCTCCCCAGAGACCCCTCAGCGTCAGAGCCGGAGGACGAGTCTGCAAAGACACACAGAGAACAGTCACACACACTCTTACTCAAGGCCTCTTAAATACAAAAACACAGACATATATTAGTATTGGTGGTTTACGAGGACTCTCCATAGGCGTAATGTATTTTATTAAGTATAATACCCCTCACCCTTAAACCCAACAATCACACTAAACCTGTAGCATAATTTGAATGTCAATTAAGCAGTGGTCAAGTTTTTAATAATGTAAGTAAGTGTAATACAAGCTTCAGTGAATTAAATGTATGCATTTACTTAAATTAGAAAGTATTAATAAAACGAATTGAAGTGTTCAGTGTTTCGAGAAATATATAGTGTATTCTGACCTACAGTAACCACTTATTAGCTATTTCTGAGGTTACTGTAAGCACAAACTGTGTCTACTTTTACATTACTTTTAGGCTTTATGAAGATACAAGCACCTATTTAACAAGAGAAATGAACACTTACAATGTCTATCGGTGCTTTAGATCTGCTGGTTTCAGACAGCTGAATGATTTTTTTCTGAGACTGATTGGCGCGATTATGCATTCACAATGGTATAAACCGTTATAGGGGTGGTCAAATGTACGGCATGCATTTTATTATTTTAATTATTAATATTATTATTAAACACAGTGTTTCTCAACCACGTTTCTGGAGGGACACCAGATCTGCACATTCTCTATGTCTCCTTAACCAAACACACACAAATCAGATCATCAGCTTATTAACAGAGACTGAAAGACCTGCAGTGGATGAGACAGACAAAGAAGACATCCAATATATGCAGTGTTGGTGGTGCTTTATGGACATGGTTGAGAAACACTGATCAGAAAAATAAAATTCTCACTATTAAAGGGCTAAACACACCATACATCTTGTTTTGATGTCCTTTAGGGGATCAAGTGTTAATTAGGGTGTCAATCCCATCAATTGTGTCCTCATAAGCCACCTTAATAGAGTACAACTAAGTCATAATCTTGTCATTATACAATATTCTGTGCTTGTAAACCACCAAAAGCAGTACACACACACCTGGAGGAGTGTATGTGTCCATGGAGGTTTGACCAATGAGCGAGCGCCGCTTGGATGGCAAAAGCACAGCCATCTTTCTCTCACTGTGTCGCTCCAACGCAGCCTGAACCGCTTCTGAGTGAACATCTGAGAGGAGCGAGAGAGAGTTTACACACATATAGAGAGCGCATCATGCTGAAATGCTTCTTAATGTTTATGTATGTATAAAGTTCAATAGAGTTGCTTTTTCAAGTCTGTTCACAGATTTATTTAGGGAGATTATTTATTCAGTGGTTTATCTATACAGGAAATGCTGTCAGCGGCACAGATTGCATCTAAGCCTAACCACATGTTCTGCAGTGCAGATGAAGATCCACGAGAACTTTCGAAAAACATAAATTACAACAGACGTACAGTTGTATTTTTTTCAATGATATTCAATATATTCTCTAGCATATAATTGACATATAGTTAAAACAATGTCATTCATTTTACTTCGGCTTAGTTCCTTCATTCATCAGGGGTAACCACAGTGGAATGAACTGCCAACTTATCCAGCATATGTAAACTCCACACAGAAATGCCAACTGACTCAGCTGGGACTCAAACCAGTCCCTTCTTGCTGTGAGGCGACAGTGCTAACCACAGAGCCCCTGTGCCGCACCCAATATCATTAATTTATATCATTAATTGGTACATGTAATTAATTTTAACATAATATTACATTATTTTTAAAAAGAGCTTAAATACAGTTGTATTCATTGAATTTATGTATTTTTTTTCAGGGACAGAGAACGGATTTTAGCAAGTGACAATATTTGTTCTCTTCATCAGGCTTTTTTTATAACTAAGAGTTATAAAAACTCTTTGGGTTGTGGCTGGATAGGCATCCGCAAAAAATAAATGCTGGAATAGTTGGCGGTTCATTTCACAGTGGCGACCCCTGATAAATAAGAGACTAAGCCGAAGGAAAATGAATTAATTTTTTTTTTTTTATAACAGTTTAAAATGAATGTATTGCTTTAAATGTAAAATTCTTATAATACATTCTCACAATTAATTACACATTTTTTTTTATCGAGTTAGATGGAAAAAATTTGCAACTACAGCAGCACATGCATATACAAGTACAAACTGGAAAATTGTAAAATTTTAATATTAAAAAAATTTAATTATTGGAAGAAAAATTATATATTTTTTTATACTTCAATCAAACTATCATTAGACAAATTTATTCAAATCATAGATTTATCTAATGATGAAACACAACTAAATTAAGTTTGAATCTGTTTGGACTGTTTTCATAGAAGAAAAACAGTGGGGGAAAGACGTATTGAACAAGTCACCATTTTTCTCAGAAACACCTGAGCAATGCATGTGACTTCATTCTCCATATGAAAGGGGTCTTCAAGCTGCCATCATCAAAAAGTCCTTTTACAGCGTTACTGCAAGTTTCAGCAATTAAATCTAAGACTTTTTAAGACCACTATGAATGAAATTTTAGACTTTTTTTTTTTTTTTTTTTTTAAATGGCACAAGCGGATTTCCTTTTTAATTTGACCTATTAAAAATTTATATAATTTAATACATTTAATAATACAATAATACAAATTATTTAATAATAAAAAATATTACTTGTTATTATTAAATGTTATTTCTCAGCACAAATTTCAATTAATGTCTCAAAACAAGGAAGCTCTAGTTGTATACGTAAACTTTTCTTTAAAATGAAATAAAAACATGTTTTAAATTTTTTTTTAAACTATAATGTATGCACAAATATCTGTCCAGGTCAGTGTCCACAGCATAAAAAAATTTAAGACCTACAACACAATGTTTCAGTAAATTAAGGACTTAAATTAAGGCCTAAAATTTAGTTTTTGAGATTTACTGTAAAACATCATAAGACTTTTAAAGACCCCGCGGACACCCTGTTTTATATATAAAAACATGATACTTATTTCCCCCACTGTATAAACTATTGACAGTTTTGTGTCTAAAATTCTGAACTGTTAGCTGCATTAATGGTATCTCACCTGAGCGGTAACGTTCATCCCTTGACCCAGTGGACCGTCTGCGTTGATAACGTGAGGATGAGGAAGACGATGAAGATGGTGTTACGGGGATGCGCCGTTCTGCTCCTACAGGAAGCACAGAGGGACAAATATAGCCACAACAGAAAACAGAAACTGTATAGTGCTGTGCATACCTGTGCATTCCTCATTTTTGCCAGGATTCTCTAGGATTTTACAATTCTATCCCGCTATCCCGTTTAAGTATTTTCCCATATTTCTCCTGTATAATTAACCTTTCTATGAAAAGTAGCATCAAAGGGCCGATCTCCAATGTGATATAATTGCAAGAGCTGTTCAAGAGAATTAAGTTAGAGCATGTTAAAAACAATATTAAAACAGCCACATTTACTAGCTATGCGTCAAACATCATTCTTCCTATGCAACCTCTGAATCGGTCAATTCATGTAACTGTGCTGACTGACAGAGGCACTTCATGGTGATAAAGAAACGCTTCTATATACGTGATTAGAAGAAAAGCGAAAGTGGATACACTTAATAATATATAAACAGCCGTCCTGGTCTGTATTATATTACACACAAATAGTTTTGTCTTAAAAGTGCATAAATAGTTACCAAAGAAATCGAATGCTTTCATTATGAATCTGTGGATTTTCAAAGTGACACCTCTGTTATCAAACAAAACTGGTGGATCAAAATGAGAGATTCACTGTTCTTCAATAAATAACTATAGTAACTTTATTTAATATTTAAATACAGTGAATAAAACAAGACATTATGAATAGATTTAATTTCTGCATAGGTTATTGATTTTAATAGGAAAATCCTATAGGAAACTTATTTTCAATTTTCGAATGTTTGCTAATTTCCTCCCCATATTTGTAATGGCTTCAACTAGGCTTATATACAATTAAGTTGCTTTGAATGAACAGATTAAGGAGTTTGTGTTCATTTTGGGAGTTCTTCTGGGCAGGTTTGAGGTTTTTGGTATGCTGCTTTGTATTTATTTATTTATTTATTTATTTATTGCCACATTAGACACTTATGGCTATTTCAGGGCAAAATGGATATACATAAAAATATAACATGATAAAAACAAATTCGTCTTACAATAAAAAGTTACTTAGACAAATATATAGGATAGAAATAAATAAAATCGATACGAGAATATATTTAAAGTTAATATGATTTTTCAGTCAAATTATTGATAAATAATTTAAGATTCTTCCCGGTGGTACCTTATTAAAAATGTCCATCAAAGTACTCTCCTTATAAATGTTTTGTCTAATGGTATTCAAACTTCACATTCCAACAGAAAATGTTTCATGGTAAGATCAGCTTGGCAGTAATTACTTTTAGATGGTGCTTCATTATTCAGTAAATACAAATGAGTCAACCTAGAATGTCTAATTCGACATCTAGTATAGACAGGTTGCTCATGCCTGGTCTCAAAATTATAATTTGCAAAGTGTCTTTCATTTATTTTCGGTTAACTTCAATTAATTTCTTATTTTTGCAGTTGTCCAATCCCATTTGCCATGTTTCATTTATATACAAATTAATTGTAGGTTTCAAGTCTTCAGGAGGAATTAAACATGCTGACACTTTCAAAGAGATAGCCTGCTAGTATGCTGCTTTGTAAAGTACATTTTTGTGTGTTTGTTACCTGGTGTATGAGGTAGGTATGCTTGTAAAAGTTTGGATCTTTTCTTCTCGTAGCCCTTCTGGGTGATATCACCTGAAAAAAACAACAAGAAAAAAAGTCATGTTAAATAAACTAAACATCCATCACTGCTGATGTTCATGATTCTTTTGACGCAATGGCTAACAAAAGCTCTACAAGACACATTCAAAGTGGATAGCCATCATCCAGTCACTGAAACAACTTCAGAAGGCAGTTTTTAGACACTCAAATAGGGCCAAGTATGTCAATTTTACTCCTACTAAGCAGAATTACGTCACAATACAGAAATATTGGAGGTCTATAATACACACAATGAGCATATACAGGTGTGTGTACAAGTCTTTTTTGCAGTTGGAGGCAAGTGTTAAAGTACAAATGAAATCAAAACTAACCAGATGATTTTGTAGCTGACATTGCTAGTTTTGTGGTGAACAATTGCTCAACAGAGAAGATTGTGATTGGCCGTGAAGGTCATCAGTTCTCTGCACTTCACTGCGGTTTACCAAGTTTGCACTCAGAGAAGTGCAAATGACCTTCACAGCCCATCACAGTCATTTCTGTTGACCACTGGTGAATACTATGGCAAATCAGCTGTTTAAGAACGAGCTCAGCGGCGCTTAAATGTTAGCGGGAAACAGACGTTTTTAAAACTTCAGTACTGGGACAACACTGTTACAGACAACACGAGGATGTGCTGCAGAGGACTGCATTGTTTTATTGCTCACCAGGTTACATAGGCTGAAGCAAGGAGTCCCCACGTAGTTTACCTGGTGCCATGATCTGAAGCCTAGGAAGACACTCTTAAAGAGATTATGATGTCGTTTGATGCCTAATATGCTTTTAATTGTCTTAAATTTAACTTAACTGAATGATATTAAAGTGATGTTTACACCATATCTGCGTTTTGAAATCGCGGAAACAGCTGGAAGTTTGTAGTCAACAGTATGTTGTTGCAATTTTTACAGTGCTGACCCAACACTTCTGGGTTTCTTCCCACCATATCTCCGCTTTCATGTTTTAAAATGGCGACCACGTGAAATAAGTGTATTGCTGTCAGATTAGGGCTGCACAATATTGAAAATATCAATATTTATTTTATTTTGCTATGATAAATATTGCAATATGAATACAGTTTCACAAGATAATTTGAATAGCACTATTTGACAGTCTCCTATAGGCTTGGGCCGATAGATGATGCCATCGTCCATTGCTGATGGCCGATAAACTTCACCATGCTAAGCTGGCATCACGACCCATCGCCCTGCCCCACATGTATATTGATATATAAATCATTATTTGTATGTCTTAATAGCAATAACGGTCTTTTCAGGAGCTGTGTTAAATTTTACATCTAGCTGCCGCTTGCACGGCTGACAGCATCATTAGGATTAAATAAATGATAATACACTACCTCTCACGCTTAAAATAATTAGATTCAGTGGCAAATGCCTTTACCTGCAAACCCTGTCCCAGACTTTACAGTGAATGGCTTTAATTATTTCCATAGCGGACTTGAAGCCACTGAAAGTCTTTTATCCATTCTTAGAAAAGTGTAAATGGTGGATTAACATTCAGCACATGATCACTAATAAGATGTGCCATTATTAGTAACTGTAGGTGGTTTCTAAAACAAAATTTGTCTGTGTTATTTACTTATTTTCATTCTCTCATCTTCAGCGCTTCACAGTTTCGAAGGCAGAAGACATTAACTGAGTGATTGACAGCTGATATTAACCAATCTATTCGCATTCCGTTCTAGAGCAGTGAGCCAATAAGAAGAGCACAAAGGCGGGGCAAGCATTGCAGGCTTTTTTTTGTACTTCAGCAAGTTCATATAACAACTTAATCAGTTTAAATCAGTTTAAAACTTAAACAGTTTTGATCTGTTCTTGTTTGGCATTTTCAGGTGCAAAGATGCATTCTGTATAAATGTCTCCTAAATCCGCACACACAGTGAGAATTTTGCCATAAAAACAGTGAAAATTTATGCATGAGCACAAATGCTTCAAAATATATTTTAAGTCGCATTGATAAAATTTCGGGTGCATATGTGACCAAAACGGTCAAGCTCTAGCATCCTTACTTGTTATTATTTTCTTATAATAATAATAATAATAAAATAAGAAAATTATTATCAATCACAAAAAATTACAGTGAACTCTAAACAAACTCTCGTCTCCTCCACCAGCTGTGGGAAAAAGCCGTTATAACAACACAGATCACTCTGCCTATTCATGCCAGAGTCCTGCGGAAAAAGTGATTGCCAGGTGGTAATTTGTAAGTAACTTTATTTATTTATGGTTTGGTTATGGGTAAAGCAAAGACCATGTGGGTCAGGTAGTGAAAACGATAGGCTACAATCAATTAATTTGTTATGAATTAATTGATATTTAACAACCACCACCCCCACCTATGACGACGATGCCATCGTCGATCACAAGTCTCCTAGAGAGTCTAGACCGTATACTCACACTATGTACAGTTGCTTTGACCGGGCCAAAGCACGCTTGTCCCCCTCCCGTCTCCCCTGACAGCCCGCACTCACATTACATTCGGGCCTGGGCACGCTTACATCATCGATTCTGCGCTGTTCAGTAAGCGCTTTCGCTCAGCACAGTGGAGATTTCTTTAGGTATATTGTTTAAGTTGTTTGATATGCAGTGACACGCTTTCAAATATTTCACCGAACAGATCAGCCACTTTTGACGCTCATAAACAACCATAAAGTCCTCTTGCTGAAGGTGCGCAGCTGTCGTGCAGTGAGGGGTTTGCGTCTTTAATAATCTACGACAGTTTGTGTTCACTGAACAGTAAGAATGATTAAATAATCCATATTAAAAGTCACGTCTCATCTTCAGTTTCGGGCTTTGGCACGTTTTGCACTCACACACACACAAGCATACTGCACCACAGCCCAAGTGAACCGCGCTCCGTGCCAGAGCCCGATTCAGAGCACTCACACTTCTCAAACGATCCGGGAAACGGGCCTGGGCACGGTTCGGAAAGCATAGTGTGAGTACGCCCTAAAAGTATTCAAAGACAGAAATTAAAACAACAACAAAAAAAATAAAATGCAAAAAATGTTTTTCTTACTTTTTTTGGTCTCGTTTCTAGACCAAATATAAAAACAATTCTTAAAGCAAGTAAAAAATTTTTGTTTTCACCCCCAGAATAAATAAGTTAAAATAAAAACCTTTTCCTTAAAACAAGCTAAATTACCAGCCAGTGAGCTAAGCCAAATAATCTGGTTTTTGCTTTGAAATGTAGATATGTGGACTAGAAACAAAACAATTCTTTCTTTTTTTTTTCATGCATATAAATCATATAAATTTTGTATAAATACAGTAATTAGACACAATTCTGCAGCTCCTGCTCAACTATAATTCAGACTCAACATTGCACATCCTGTGATGTGATTATTGTGATATTGATGCTGACATGATATATTGTGCAGCCCTAATCAGATCAGATACTAATAAACAATCATACATCTACAAATACGGCATGGCTGGAATAATAACACAAATGATATCCATGACAACATAGGTGTGGTGGCACCCCCGAGACCCACAGGAAATGAAGACATGGAGGTCCTTTTCTCACGAGACTCTCTGCTCCATTATCCACAACACACACACAGAGAAAATCTAAACTTTAAACACATTTCAGCATTCAACATAAATAAAAGCTTTGATTATACACACATGCAAAACCTACAAGGGGAAAACCAGAAATGGCCATTGCACAAACTGGGTTACTAGGTCAATCTGCACTAAGCTTTACATAATATACGTGCACATCTGCAGTCAAGATAGCATATGCATATACACTGAAACCTGAGCAACTGTGCACACGCATATTCAAATGATAAGGAAGATAACATGCACACACGTGAACGCTAGTGCACTAACACAAGCTCAGTGGCTACTTTATTAGGTACAACTGCTTATCAACAAAAAAAGCCAAACATGTGGCTGTTAACTGCAATTAGAAAGCATGCAGATATCATCGCAGCGGTTTAGTTGCTTTCGGGCTGTCGTATAATTACGATTGGCACGTTATGGCATGTGATCAGAGCAAATGAACGTGGGAGGATTGTTGATGCAAGGTTTCTCAGAAACAGTCCACCTCGTGGGATTTACATGGTTGGGTTCACAGAGAACGCTGTGTGAATTCAGCCAGATCTGTGAGAGAAAACACCTTGTTAAACAGAGCTCAAAGGAGCTGAAGACAGTGCTCTACTGTTAAAAGCACTGTTCTGCACGAAAAAGGGGTATTTGAAATGCATCGCATGTCAAAGTTTAGGGAAATAACTGCACGCATGATTAGCCTGAAATTGACACGGAGACACAAAAACTGGAAGGGGGTAGGACTTGTTTAAAACTCCTGAAGAGAAAATGGACACTCGGCAATTTGCTCTGAAGGTCAGAAAGTACTCTAAATCCTAAAACTTAATTCAAAATCCGATCATATTTTGAAAAACACTGTTCTCCTGACCTCCTCCTATGTACAGCGCTAGGAGAGCCAGAGCACAAAAATCACACTCGACTAGAACTTTCATTTAGCCGCTAGCGACGCTCCTGGCATCTTGCTAAATCCAGCCGATGTTCAACATCTGGGATGTTTACGAAGCTAGAGGGGGTTTTACCCAGCAGGAGGACCTCAGAAAAACTTGTAAAATCTAGTAAAGAGTTTTTTTTTGACCTGCTGTCCTGTCAAGAGAGTTCAGCTTACTGGCTTGAAGCGGTGATTTGGAAAAGGAAGGAATGACAACAACATGACAGTCATTATGATTTTCACATCAAATTCTTTCTTTCTTTCTTTCTTTCTTTCTATAGTGCTAAGACAAGTAATACTACATTATTTTGCAACAAGTTAAAGATGTACATGTTAGCAGCATGCAACATTATATTAGCAAATCATTAAAACACGCTAGCTACAGGTTAAAGGACATCCGAGCAGTGAAGTCATTATTTATTTATTTTTTATAAAAATACAGCCCGTGTCAAAGCAGATTAACAGATAGCAACTGGAAAACAGTAGAATTAATTATG